TGACCGTCGATTAATATTAATTCATAATTAATCAACGGTCAGGATTGCGCCATGTCATTCGGTGCACTACTTTTGGTGATGGTAAAAAATTAGAAATTTTCTATATAGATGGTAATTGTTGATGCTTGATTTTAATATTAACGACTTGCACGTGCAAAGTGTTAAGAAAGTCAAATTACACTGATGGATTCATGAGATTTGAATATAGTACTAAGATTATGTATGTTTGCAGAAACATAAATAATAGATAAACAAGAGAGATTTTTATTGTGGTTCGAATGCTTAAAACGAATCCTACATCTACTGTTATTTTATTATTATCTGACTATTTCCATAATATTACCTGTAAGGCGTACAAAGATGAAGAAATACTTTGTTTACAGAGAAAAATAAGCTCTCATATGCCCCAACCTCCCTTTTTACAAAGAGTTGTGTCCATTTATACACCTTTGAAGTTAATGTAATAAGTACTTTTATAAGTTGTCTTGGCACATGAAAAACTTTCATTCATCCTTATCTTAAAATGAGATAAGGTTGGTATAAAATACCTTTGAGGTGGTATAGACTTGACAGCTAGTGCACTTTGTTTTCAATAAGTCTATCCTTACAAAGAAGCTTACAAAGTGAAGGAAAAAACAAAAGAAAAACAGAAAAAGAGAAAGAGAGAGAGAGAGAAATGATGAAGATGAAGGGTGGAGATTAACTTTGTATGCCTCCTTTGTAGGCTTCTTTGTAAGACTAGCACTATTGCTTTGTTTTTTAGACATTTGTTCGGCTGATATTGTGTTTTTTTAGGCATAATAGTAATCTTTGATTCTTTATTAATGGAATTTAATGTTCATAATCTGTCAAAAATGATAAGGTAATATGCATATTCAGCAACATTAGATTCATTATTTTTTTCCCCCTTATAAAAGTGTAGCTAAATTACACATTACATATCCAACTTCAATTAAAACTTGGAAAAATCTCTTGGTTTTGGTTTTCAAATATGAATCAGAAGGCTTATACTTCTCTCTCAGCATCTTTCTTAATCATCCTTTCAACAATGTTTTTGGTAAGTTTTTTCTCTATCTCAAAAAATAAAAGTTTATTATTGGATTAAAGATTTGAATTAAATTTTTTGTGTGTATTTGGCAGGTGAATCATTGGTTAGCAGGACTTGGAGTTGAAGCTGGTAGCTGCCATCGTGACGAAGACTGTAAATCTGAATGTCCAAACGGAGGACATTGCCACGATTTTTGCCTGTGTAATTGCATACAATCTACTCTAAAGCAACCTGAATTTGAAATATCTGAATATGGAACTGAATCTGATGACGATAAAAAGAAATATACGCCACAATGTACTGGTCCACGATGTGCTCGTGATCCCGACTGCTTGGATTGTCCAAACGGTAAGGGAGGCTTATGCGACCTGATACATCACAAATGTTGTTGCAATAAATAAAATTCAGAATTGTAGTGCTTGAAATTGTTTCTTTGTGAAATGATTTGAAATAAGATTTAGAATCACTCTCTATGGTCTGACTTTGTTTAAACATTATAAATAAAAACTTTAAAATGACTACAAGGAGTTGGTAAACACCATGAGAACATTTGAGAATGTCTATCTTCAACATAGTCGTAAATTGTTTGTGATAAATCTTGCCATTTCAGTAATGGTAGACTACCACTAAGGGTGAAAATCGAGCCGAGCGGCTCGAGCTTGAACTCAACTTGAGTTCGAGTTCAAGTGGCTCGAATAATCCCACGAGTTAAGTTTGATCACTATACAAAAAGTTCGACTAATTTCAACTTGATTAAAATTCGATTAACCGAGCTCGAATTCAACTTTCAGGTTCCAAATTCGAATTTGAGCTCGATTCATCAGGCTCAATTAGTATCGAACTCGATACTGTAACATCCGAGCCAGTACCCCAAACTACCACATCATCCATATCATTTATTGCATCAAGAGAATGATTCTAAAATCATTTATTGCATCAAGATACAATCTTTTGAGATAATAAATGATAGTATCAGTTTGAACTACTCAACTTGACTCGACTTCACCCCAAACTACCGCATCATCCATATCATTTATCGCATCAAGATACAATCTTTTGAGATAATCATATTTGAATTGGTACTAATAATCTCATATTACACGCCATTTGCCTTGTTTTTTTTTTTTTTTGGACGAGTTTCTGCATTGGAAGGAATGGAATTTCCATTTATATAAAAATATGAAGTTTTAATTACATAATTTTATAAGATCAGCAAACAAAATGTTTATACTATTCATCATTTTCAGTTTATTTTTTCTACAACAAAAATATAAAAAAAAAATATTGTCATTGTGTCAACATGTCATCGTTCTTGACTCACACAAGAATTCATATTAGTTAGGTAAATGCTGAGCTCCCTTTTGAATAAGTAAGTTTAGAAATTGAAATTTAATAGATTGATTCTACTTTCTAGATGTAACTTAAAAAAAGGGAGAAGGACATCTTTCCACCCAAGGTTTGGTGAAATAACACTTTCCACCCTTCAAGTTTCAAAATGATACTTTCTCACCCTTTGTCTGGTTCTGTTAGTGTTTTCTGTTAATATTTGACTAAAAAAACGAAAATACCCTTAAATAGTTTATTTCTTAATTAGTTTATTATAAATTAAAATTTAGTTAAGTCATAATGATTATTTATTAGTTCAAGTGTAAAGATACTTTTTTTTTTTCTTTTGTTTATTTAATTAATTAGGAATATTGATTTTCAATGTTAATTAGTTAAAATGAAAACATTATACTGTATTATGAAAAAAATTATAAATTTAGTAGATTATTGAATAATAGTGATGAGATATTGATGACATTATAAATAAATATTAAGATAATTTAAATTTAAACAATTTCATAACATTACTCCTAACTTTTTTGTTGGGACTAACTATTTTTTCTTTTTTGACTTTTTAATATTTGATTTTTTGGCTAATTAATTTTTTTTTATAAATTCAAATATTTAAGGGTATTTTTGTCTTTTGAGTCAAATATTAACAAAAAACATAACAGAACCTAACAAAGAGTGGGAAAATGTTATTTTAAAACTTGAAGGGTGGAAAAGTGTCGTTTCGCCAAACCTTGGGTGGGAAAATTTGTTCTCCCTAAAAAAAAAAAAAAAAAAACTTATTTTTTGAGTAAATAACCATAAAAAATAGATAAGGTTTTCACTTTTGAGTCTTTTGACACATGATTAATGCTATGCTTACTCACGATCTTATTAACCATCTTATTATTCTTTGTAAATATAATGCATAGTATGGGTACCATATGTAATTTTAACAAAGGTAGTAAGGCGGTTAATAAACCCGTGAGTAAGCATAACATTATTGTTTGACACATTGATGCAGGACCTGAAAATCATCGGACGGCTTGGACTTGTTATAATTCAGAAAGCATAGATCGCCATGTCTCTACAGCTGTCCACGTGGCAGATCACCAATGTGGTGTGTGATTAATAGTCGATCAATAGTGTATTCTTGGAAATAATATTGTATAAAGCATTAAAAAATCTTTTTTTCTTTTGCATTCAAATTCTTACCGTGGAGATTAAAGAATATAAATAAAATTAAAAAAAATTATAATCTAAAGTTTGTATATTATTTAATGTATTAATGAACTTAAATTTATCCTCATTGCAGAAGGTTTTAAGGATTAAATACTTCATATAAAAAATTTCTATGGATGTGGGTTGAATTTTTCCTGGACCTCAGCAAAAGAGTTTCTAGAAGAAAAAAAAAATAGAAAGCCAGTTTTCTTTTGAAAAACCGAAAATAATTTGAATTAGCAGAAGCTTCTATTCTTTTTTTAGAGTAATTCAGCAACTTTTTCCCACCCAAGATTTGCCTTGACGCCACTTTCTCACCCAAAGTTAATATTTTGTTACTATTTAAAACCGATTCAAGTGACAAAAATTCTTACCATTATTACCATATAAACCTCTGGTCTCTTCCCTATAAAACACTTCTCACTTCAACACTTGATTTCTCGTCGATTGTCGACCATTGTAAAGTTATGATTTCTTATTTTTAACTAATTTTCGATTGATTCCGATAGCGAATATTCAATCAGTCATCACCATTCGATCCACTGGTCTTCACTCTACAAAACCCTCTTACCCTAACTCCTGGTAACTCCTCAAACGTTAATTGAGAAAATGAAGTGTATTTTAGGTATTAAAAGAATATAAACATTGGGTGGAAAAGTGGTATTTTGAAATTTCTTGGGTAGGAAAGTAGAAAAAGTGGTTTACTCTAATTTTTATTCAATTGTTTATTATGTATATAAATTTGTAAAATACAACATTTTTTCAGCCATGAAACGAAGGAAAGTTTGAAAAGTCCAAGAAGGAAACTGCATGCCCATTTCCATTTGTCGCCAATTGGTGAGTCGAATAAAATTAGAAGCTTCTTATTGTAGTTTAAATAAAGTCTTTACTTATCTCAAGTCTCAACATTTAAATTCTGATTCATAATGTTAATAAACATTTAAAGGGTTTTTTTATGGCCTCAGTCAAATTGTGATTAGACCAGAGTGGAACAGCTCAAACTACGGGTTTGGGTTGAACGAGAAAACCAATGAGGTTTGAGAACGAAGGAAAAAAACTGTCATTTATGTTAAAAGCGTTTAATGAAGACTGATTCTATCGTCCAGAAGATTTAGGTAGAAAATCACTTAAGATTTTAAAAGGTAATTTATAAAAATGGAGTGGAAATTTTTATGAATCTTCGCCTGCTCTTCTATAAATCACCCTCTCAACTTTCTCTTTGAATAATTCTTTATGCTCCTCTAGAAGACTGGAAGCTATCACCATCGTCCACCATTAAAGTATCTTTCAATAAACTAACCACCTCTCCTTCCTCAACCTCATTCCTCGTATATATATTTTTCCAACTTCATCGTTTCTGAATCTCTCAAATATCACAACCCCAACAAACATTTTCCCCTTCTTTGAATTACAAAATATGGTAGCTAAAGAGTTTAATGACGTTCTTAAAGTAGAAGACGACGAAGCAGAAGAAACACTTTCTCTTTGCGATCTTGTAATAAACAGCAACACAGAAGACTACAACTGCAAGGATGACGAATTCTCCATTGAAGATCGACAAGAATTAAGCTCATCATCTGAAGATTTCTTCGAGTTCTCAAGTGAAGAATATTTCACATCTTCAACTAATAATTATCCAACAGACGACATCATCTTTTGCGGAAAACGCATCCCCAACAAGCAACATCATGTTCCTGAACAAACCCGGCTCATAAACGACACCGTTCTCAAGCAACAAAAACTCCTTCATAAAAAATCGTCAATAATTAATTACAAGCCATTACCCTGTGGAAAGTCAAAGTGGTATTTATTTGTGTTTGGATATGGAAGGTTTCCTTCGGAAATGGAGCTGAGAGATATAAAGAACAGACAGAGTAGTCGGACGAATAATGTGAATGCAGCTGCAACAATGTTGCGATCCAACAGCAACAATGGAGGCGATCAAATGAGTGATAAGAGGAGTCATAAAAAGAGATTGTGGAGATTGTTTAGCGTTTTGGGGTGTAAGAACCTGATAGCAAACGCTGTTGCTGCTAAGGCCTCGTTTGGCTTGCGTTCTCCATGTTTATGAGGAGCTAATTTCAGGTCTTTCTTGATGGCATAATTACATTGATTATGAATGTAAACGATTATTTGTCATCGGGTTATTGTCTGGAAATAATCTGAAACTTGGTTTCACGATTCCATTGCTACTTCTCATGACTATCTTCAATTTACGGGTTTTAGCTTCTACATAGAAGCAGCACCTAACCAGTAATATTGATATCTTGTTTATATTATAAATGACATTAGCAGTTCATTATTTGATTAAAGTAAAAAGTTTATGTTATTTTAATTTATACTGATTGAATATCCAATAATTTGTATCACAAATTGAAGTAAAAAGTTTATGTTATTAACCACCACTAGGTGGCTGATAGTAAAATAGCAAAATAAGGTTCTATGAGCTTCTAAGTTCGAGTCCTCCCAAACACTAAAAAGAGTGGTCAGTGGGGCTCTTACCTAATCAGTAGTTCTAAAACCTCGAGGGATTAGGTGAAGTCCTAAAAGAGGTAGCTATTGGGCCTCTTACCGAGTCGACTATTCCAAAGCCCTAAAAGATTAGTTAAGGTGCATGCAAACTAGTCCGACCACTTCCAGTGATTTAAAAAAAAAAAAGTTTATGTTATTTTAATTTATTGTTTCAGATATTGACAACAATTAAACGTATATTTTTTGTAAGTATAAGTGGGGCTGTGGATCCTGAAACCAACAGACTATATTGAAATAGAGCAAATGAAAATGTTTGTATTTTGCATGCACGTTGTTCTAATTTGTTACTCGTCCCCCATGCCACCTGCCAATTATGGATATGGTGATTCATAAACAACTAAAGAAAAATTTAATGGAAACAGACGTGATGCTTTTTATCTTACCTTCCCAACAACAAGAAGAAGTCTACATCAAATTAGTGCTTTCCATGTCATGGATTCAAGAATTATCAATCCTACTACAGGACGGCTGCTTCAGTTTTCCAAAATAATGATAATATTGACATTCATACCTTTTATATATGAATAAAATTTATAACACTTCTTTGAGTTCTCACATTGTGACTTACTTGGTCTTTTAAGCATGTAAAGTATTCAATAGAACTCAAAGATTAGTTAAAATACGCACAAATTAACCCCAATACTTCGGTTACCAAAAAAATAAAATAAAATTCATCCACCTCTACTCAAAGATCAATAATACATAAGTTGACAATACGGTGTTCCAAAATTTAATTTCCCTTTTCTAATATCGTTAACAAAATTTTTCCCTTTTGCATATGTATTTCATAATCAGAATAACTTCCACAAGCCTAAATGAGCATTACATCATGCAATACAGTTGCTTTAAGAAATTGCCACCAAAGAAACATCTCAACCTTCTTACTTTCACATCACATGGCATCAAAATTTGATGGTAGGAAGGCATTAACCTTCAAGCTTTTCAATTCTGCCTCGATTTCTATCTTCTTCTTTTGTCACTGAACGAGGGGTCTACCTTATTTTTTTCTCCGGCTGCTCTTCACCATTGGCACTAGCTAGCATCTACGGTGACAGTTGATTGTTGTCCTCTTTTCCTTTTTGATTTCTTCTGCTCAAGGAAACTGCAGCAAAATTGTTACAACTGTAATTACTGCAAAATGCAGCAAAGAGAGAATATCAAAGGTTTCTACTAGGAATAATACAAAATAGGTAAGGTGCGTTTTACCTTATCTTTCCATTCAAAATAAGACTCCCAGAAGCAGCCCTTTCCATGACACTTTTGTAATATTGTGTAAATGGGGCATTGCCACTGTGCTTCTCAAGCTGGCATGGAAAATTCATCAATGTCAGATGAGCCTGTTAGATTTATCGAATCCCAAAATATATTGTTAGCACAAACAAACCTGAAGAAATGTTTCAACGGACTGCTGATCTTTCGGTGAAAATGCCACCTCCTCTCTCTTCTTACGCACAAATTCAATGTTCTGCTCCACCTAACATTGCCAGAAAAAATTTCACAAAAAAATGTTCCCATAATCAGTAGTAAGCTCGTCATGTAATGAAATATCAATTTTCTATTCAATAAGCAATATGATCATAAGATTTAGAACAACCAGCAAAACATGCTATAGAGGAAACTAAAAACTCAAGCTTTTCTACACTTGTCAAGATAGTTTACACAGCTTGGGTTCACCATCAAAATCATTTCGGGAAAGCCTAGATATTTGGAGCTCAACAGTCCATGCCACGGGGCTTTCAGCTCAACATGATATTTCATTCCTTTCCTTTCTTAAGTACCTCACATTGCATTTCTAGAATTATCAATTGGGAGCAAGACAGTAGCAAACAGGTAGGCTGTTTTTGTAACTAGATGTTCTTCTAATGAATTCTTGCCAGGGTAGTGGTATAAGAAAACACTAAATTCATTCATAAGAATTCATACCATATCAACAAAGCGTTTCACAACTCGCCGGAAACTCTCAATAGCAGTTTTTTCGTGAAACTTCCTTAGACGAATGAGTGGAATAGTTGCCAGCTCAGGAAAAGAAATGTTGTAACTCCACTGAGCAAAGTGCACTGAAAGCAGTTCAATGGCAGTAAAAACACACTCTTCTTGGAAGTTTCGGGATTTCAGCAAATGTTTTGGCAACTGCACCATAAATATCAAACATTAGTTTTACCCAAAATACAGGAGATATTTTGCTAGACAGTGTATAGGTTTCAAGGAACAATAGATGATCAATGAAACACATAATCAGAACAGAAAGAGAATAATAACACAATGGTTTCAATTAGATGTGCATGAACCACATAAAGAAATTGGGCAGTAAAATAGAACTTAAATTTCAACATAACATTACTATTTCCTGACCTTCACTGCAGATGAAAAGTTGAAGTCCTTCCCAGGCTTCCCACCCTCCTTTCCTATTTTATATCCCAAAAGATCCAACACCAATGAAGTGACAGGGATGAAAATTCCACTAGCACTAGAGAGATGATTTAACCACTCAACACATTTGCGTCTTAAAGGCAGATATCTTGGTCCTGGAAAAAGTACAGCCACTCCATTTATAATCTGAATGATAATATAAATCAACGGCTGAAGATCATAATCGTGCACATTATGTGATATATAGGTAACCCAGAGATCAATGCAGTTAGTAAACTGCCAACTGCATATCTTCTTCACTGCTTCCTGTTTATAAGCAATAAAAACAAAAAATGATGAAAGCATTCCTCTCCATTATCAAAATTCAAAATAAACTAATTTCTATCAACACCAAATCTAATCAGCAACTGAATAAACTCTGAATTCGACAAAACAGGGAAATTATGTAAAACATGCACAGTGCATCTGCACACCTTCTTCTTTGTTTGTAGACCTAACTGCAGTATCCTAGACATTTTCTGGATGGAAATCATTGCCTTGCTTGATGATTTCTGCAGATCTTGAGAGCACAGCTCAACAAAAGAGTTCCTTAGAAATTGTATGTGTTTGAATAGAGCTGGCTCCACAAATTTGCAGTGACCAATGAAGGCTTTGAACATTTTAATTAAGCAAATATCGAAGAAATCTGAACTAAACACAGAAGACACATCTTGTAAGAGAAGAAAGGAGTGAGATGATAAAATCCCTTCACCAGTTGCCCACAGATGAACCCCAATCTGCATTCAATTCAAAAAGCAAGAAATGAGCTCAAATAGCATAAAATTTAATTGTGATAAAATATATCAATATAAATTCTGGATATAACTATTTCATAAAACTGCAAAACAATCAAGTTCCAAGATATTGCTATTTTCTGTACTGTGCCAATGTGAAAGCCCCATAATATAAAAAGTAAAACTGGTTATAATAACAGTGTAAATACAAAATAACTCATACAAACATCTTGGTTACATATTGATAAGATGTCTAAACTTGATCAAAAATACAATATAAATATACATAATTTCAAATAAAAATACCTTGATGAGTCTGTGCAGTAAAGGAGGAAAAGCAGCAAAAAATACTACAGAAGCTCTAAGCCTGCTTAAGGATAAAGCTAATATCTCAGAGTCTGTAGCCTGATTCAGCATGAACATGGTACTTCTCAAATAAGACTTGATAAGTGGCCTCAGAGTTTTCCATTTTGGAGTATTCTTCAGTTCCAAAATGGTCCCCCTCTTGCTAGATGAGGATGAAATTCCCAGCATCCCACGAAATACATTATCAGCCTCATGAAGCACAAATGTCAATATCTTGCAAAAGGTTTCACTCTCTTGAATTCTACAGCTGGAGCCGGCATCAAGGGCACCAGTTGATTCAGCTCCATAGTGGCATGCAGCTCGATACCCATTTAGTAGACTAATAAGGGCAGGCACACTCTGCTGCTCTTTAATTAGGTTACACCAAGAATTAACAACAGAGCTGGTCAAGAGCTTGTTCTTATGTGAATTTGGGCCATCATCATCCACTGAATTTATGTCATCATTACTTGTCTCATCATCATCTGAATACTGTTATACAGGAAATACAATGAAAATAAACTAATGGAAAAACCAGCAAATTCAGATAAACGAGGCTAAATCTGAGGATTTAAATACCAAATTCTTAGTATTAAAAAAAAAAAAAAAAAAAAATAAATCTTCACAATTGCGAAAATGTGGTTAAATCCATTGCAAGGATAATATACTTTTCAAAGATGCGGAAAATCTGAAGATAAAGCTACCTAGTACATATATACCACAAAGTTATAAAAACAGTCACATTTGAACACAAGTAATACACAGTCCAGACAGTTATTTCATTGAGATATCATTCTCAAGACAGAAAAAACATCTTGAGTAACTTACAGCATCTTCATTTCTGGATGATTTGAGACCCCTATCATGACTTTCCAAAAACCTTGAAAATTCTGGATCCTGAAATTTTCCAAGTAAAATTGCTTCATCAAATAAATGAAAATATCTGCAAGCGGACACTCAGATTAAAAGGAGAAACACCTTATCAAGATCAATCACCTAATTCACAAAACCTTGAGGCAAACTCTAAATACAATAAGGCTCCTGGTTTTAATTCATAAACAATCATATATCTGAGGTCCATCCCCAGAAAATTGACATTTTGATTGATCCTCTTACCTTTTTTTTCAGTCTTTCCAATTTTTTCATTTTACTCTCCAGTTCTGAAAGAATTTCTTGGTTCTGCACAGATGACTCCATACCAGCTCCGTTCTCTGTATATGAATTAATTTACAAATTTTAACAAAAAGATGATCAAAGGAAAAGAAGAAATAGATGATGCCTGAAAACTTTAAAACACAAGTTGCACAAGCAGTAATAGTGTATTCACCTTCCAGATGACTTTCAGCTACATATGTATCACTTGAGTCCTGGTCATAAAGTATTAAGATTAATACCAGAGGAATCAAAGAAAACATTAACAACAAGTTCATGTATGATAGGTTTCAAACCTCTAAAAGATATCCATCACTGCCTGAATCATCTCTGTCGACGTCACTATCGTCTTCACTAAATATTTCATCAAGGGAGGTGTCCTCAATATCAATACCTTCATGGTTTCTGAAAAGAAAATTGAGATTTTTTAAATAAATGGTTCAAGGCCAATACATACAACTCTCAAATAAATCCTTCTAAGAAATCATACCGCATGCCGTGGTACATACATATTTCCAATGACAACAACATACAATAATCAAATAAAAATAAAAACAAAACAAAAGGAGAGACAAATTGAAAGTCAAATGATTGAGTAGTTGCAATTTCAAAATTTTACCTTCTATTAGATAATTCTCGCGCCTCTTCTTCTTTGTTTTCAGCTGCATCCCTCTCATCTTCTACACAAATCGAATTACAAGCAACATTACCAATAAATTACTTTAATCAAGCTCAAATTTAACCAGAGCTTGTATTTTTTTATAATAAATACTCATGAACTAATCCACTACTTCAAACGAGCTAGAATGAACTTTAACAATAAATTGCACTATAAGTTCACGTTAGCATTTAATTAGACGTTCCAAAACTTAGAACTAATTAAAAATGAATATAACAAAGAAAAAAAAAAAACCTTACTTTTAGAACTCTCTTCTTGAACATAGACTTATCTTTCGCTTTCTTTTTAACACAGACTGCAGATTCTTCTTGGCGAACTTCCTTGCTTTTCTCCGAGTTTTCCCATTTTTTTAATCGAAAAACCCTAAAAAAAAAAATAAGTACTAAAATTGAATCGAAATCATTCGATTATCAAGCAAGAAAATATCACCAGCAGTGAAGAGAGAGATAGATTTGCTTACCGGCTAGAGTCCTGGCAACTGCTCGTGTGTAAAACGGGAAGTGGTTAAAGTGAATATCAAAAGTACGGGGGACTTACACGTAATTAACAAAGGAAGTTAGTTCGGCGATTAGTTCACTTCTGGAAAGTTCAAAACCCAGGGTTTTGGTTTAGAGAGAGAAGACTGCCAAGGCATTAAAAAGTTAGGGCTATTTAGTATTTCATCAGCGGGTCGGACTACTGTTGGGCTGGGCGAAGATTTATTTTGGCTGTCATGCATGGCTTCACATGTGTAATTAAATTGGTAATATTTTTACTGTAATTATTAATTAAATAATAAAACGAGAATTAAAAAAAAATGAGTGGGAATCTTCTTCCCCACAGAGCTTTAGGACGCCTTTTATAAAGGCCATCAAATTCAATTTAATAAAAAAGCATGTAGTTTGAAAGTGTAGTAAATACTTTTTATTGATTAAGGTTAATTAAACATGATTGTGGTTAATTAGATTAATGAAGTATTGTGTAATCTTTAAAAATTACATATTCCCCAAAGAGCAAATTCTTGAAACAAACCCAAAACACTTCTTCTTCTTCCTCCTCGCCGTTAACGCCATCCCTCCCCTAATGTGTTTCTCTAAAAAGCTTCGTCTACATCTTCTTCTTCTTCCTCTGCCATTAACATCTTCTCCGCCACAGATCCTCCTCCTCCATCTCCTCCTAACATTTTGTCTAGGTATGTGTATCTCCCATTTCCATTTTATATTTCGATTTACAAAGATTTAATGATGGATTGGGTTTGGGTTATGATTTTGATTTAGTTGTTTAAGCTGTCAGGTTGTGTTTGATGTAGTGCAAATTGAAAGGAGTGAAATTTGTTGAATATTTTCTTGCATTGTAGGTAGCTAGGGGTGGTAGCACCGATTATAGGTGAAGATGATTGAAAATATGTTCTGGATATGATGGATCGCTTAAGAGATCTGGTATGTCTGGTATAATGCAGCAGATCGTAGATCGCTTAAGCGATCAAGTATATGGCAGAAGATCGCTTAAGCGATCTTCGATAAGTCTGGTATATGACAACAGATCGTTTAAGCGATCAAGTAAATGACATAAGATCACTTAAGCGATCTGCTATAAGTCTGGTGTATGACAACATATCACTTAAGCGATCAGGTAAATGACATAAGATCGCTTAAGCGATCAGGCTTATTTATACCAGATCGCTTAAGCGATCCATTATATTGCTCAAGCGATCTAGTAAATGATGTACCATATTGCTCAAGTGACTCTGCAGATGCTTTTTAAAATCTTTCAACCGTTAATAAATCAATTAATAATATTTTTTTTCTTGCATTATAGGTACTTGGCTATTATTAGACATGGGACAAGTTGTTTTGAGTGTTGAATATTTTGGTGAGTGGGTGGAGGAAGAAAGTTGCTGGAAGTGGATTGGGAAGAGCAAAGAAATTATACACTGTGAGCACAGAGGTTAGTTTTGATGAGTTGATTGATGAAATAATTAGAAGAGGTGATTTGAGTTGCTCACATAGTGATATAGTTGTGAAGTATGTTTTAAGCAGAGTTCCAGAACATTATAAGGTGTCTCCTACTATATTAAAGTCTGATAAAGGTGTGAAGTTATATATGTTTGATATGGTTAATAATGGTTCGAGGCCGATTTTAAGGGTTTCTTTGTAAATAAACCGTTGGAAGTTGATTCAAAAGAAGGGGATAACGAGGAAGTTGGCGGAGAGAATTATGGTTTTAATTTGAACTACGAAGGCTTTGATTTCTTAGTTGAAAAATCAAGAGTAAGCGGTGATTTGGGTGGTGAGGAGGACACTGTAGAAGAGGTTGGTCATGCGTGGTAGCATGAAAATTTTGAGGAGGAGGAACCCGTACATGTTCCCACAGATGTAGAGATTCCTTTAAATATAGATTATGCAGAAGGTGTAGTTTGTGAGGAAGAGAACACTATGGTCCTTTATACAGGTTCAAAGGGGGCAATTGCAAGTAGTAGCGAATTAGCTCATGTTTTTACAGATGGATCAGAGTTACGCATATGGTATTTATTTGACAATAAAGAGGAAGTGGTGAGGAAGCTAAAACTTGTTGCCGTGAGAGGTAATTTTGAGTTCATCACCAAAAACTCGAATTCATTGGTTATGACTGTTGCATATCGTGACCGAAAGTGCAAGTGGCGTGTTTATTGTAAAAGGTTGGTAGAGTCCGAAAAATTTATTCTTAGCACATATACCCGTAAGCATACATGTGGTTTGAGACATATTTCACGTGAGCATCGACAAACCTCCACTGATGTTATTGGACAATTTCTCAAAAGTCAGTTCATTGAAGGGAAATGTCCATCTCCTAAAGACATTCAGAGACTTGTGCGCACAGAGTTGGGATGTGCTATTAGTTACTGAAAATGCTGGAAAAGGAGACAACATGCACAAGATTTTGTGAGAGGCACGCCGACTCATGGGTACACAGTATTGAAGCATACCGTTATATGCTTGAGTTGACAAACCAAAGTAGCAAGATGGCTTTAAAGTGGGATAAGAATATGAGGTTTAAATATTTTTTTGTTGCTTACGGTTCTGCTATAAGGGGTTTTCTAAACATGAGAAAGGTGTTGGTTGTTGATGGTTGTTTTTTGACAGGAAAGTATGGAGGTACATTGTTGGTGGCCACTGCATAGGACAGCGAGAATCACATATATCCCGTTACATGGTGTGTGGTTGACTCTGAGAATGACAAGTCGTAGACTTGGTTTTTTCAGTAATTACGTACGATAGAGCCTGACAGTGATGAGTTGTGCATAATATCCAATAGGCACAACTCTATAAAGAAGGGGATTGCCACTATTTACCCTCAAGCACATCACAGAAAAAGAAAAGTTTAAGGGTGCTCTCCTCCTTCAGACATACTACATGGTAGCAAAAACTTATTGAGTTGATGAGTTTGAGGAGCACTTCTAGCAAATCTGAATCAAGGATGATAGAATTGCTAAGTATCTTGAGCATGATGTTGGTTTCGAGTGATGGAGTAGAGCTTACTTTCCTGGAAGAAGGTTTGATGTTATGACCACGAACATAGCCAAGTCCATAAATTCGAAGGTCTTAATAGAAGGAAAGTTTCCAATAGTTTCCCTTTTTGATGCAATCCAGAGGACATTGTCACGGTGGTTTCATGAGTGTCGTACGGAGTCAGATAATTTTACCACAACCTTTGTTCCGTCAGCTGAAAAATTATTGCGAGAACGTATGGAACTGTCAAATGCACTGTTTGCCTATCCTCTTAATGCTCAAGAGTTCATTGTGCATGGCTATGGTCTGGATGCCCTAGTTAACCTTCTTAGTAAAACTTGTTGCAGTAAAGTACTTGGCATTCAATGTTTACCTTGTCCTCATGCACTAGCAGCACTGAAACACCAACGGAAGTCGGATTTTGGTTCAAGAATTTACATTGAACTTTGCTCCCCTCTCTATATGGCAAATTACTATATGCTGGCTTATTCGAAAATGATATATCCAGTTCCTCCAGAAGAGCAGTGGGTGGTGTCGCCAGAGTTAGTTCACATTATCATCCATCCACCATTAAAAAAGATAGAAAATGGGAGAAAAAGAGTTAAGCATATTCCATCAACCTTTAAGTTTCCCCGGAGGCTGAATAAGTGCTCAATTTGCAAGCAAGCTGACCATAAGAGAAGCAATTGTCAGAATCGATCACATACAGATCCAGAAAATTAGGTTTGAAAAATGATGAAATCGAGAGAGTTGCCAAGGCCAACCGTTGAAGAGTTGTTGTTTTCAATTTTTTATGTTTTGAATTTTATTGTTACCTTGAATAAATCATCCTTTATATTTAGTATTCATGTTACATGACATTGATGTGTTGATGCAATTAGGTTGTCAAATTCAGGAGAAAATATGGAATTAATATATGTTGGTGATTTTAGTTTGTCAAAATTCAAGAGAAAAGCTGGAAAAAATATGTATTGGGTTCTGGTTAGTCAAAAGGGATCCATATGCCCATGGAAGCACTCAACAGCCCAACGCTCTCGATAGTTGCTCATTGTTTCGTCATTCAAACCGTTTATCGGGGTGTTGGTCATGTCAAACTCAATAAATTTCAGTGCATGTGCCCCACAATCAACACTACAATAAGAGGAAGACATTAGCATTAGAATCAACTTATAAAACAATTGTATTATGTAAGTTTTATACAAAATTTAACTTGAGTCATTTATCGGGACGAGAAGGCGCTTGAGTGGCGACTTTCCCGTTAGTACTTTATCATCGAAGTGTTGAAACATCCCACTATCGTGTAACAGCCATGGGAACAACACGCACAATGGCTCTAACTCCGTCTCTAACTATCTCTCTCGACAAATTCTTGGATTGCGGTCATGGATCTTTAGCAAGCCCTTCTCTAAAGGCGCAACGACGGTTATTGAGTGCATATCGTTGATGTTGATGATGCAGTATACTCTTTTAACCTTTGCCCAACTATGGCCATGTTTGGACGTTTCCCCCCATGCATACTGCATGTTCTTGTCATAAAACTGAATATCATCAAGGACGCCGTCGAAGTCATCTGTGGCCAATATTTTTCGCTTGCGTCCTCTTGCTGCACCTCTACCAATGACCTTTTTCATTAAAGTGTCATATGTCGTTACTAGTGTTTGGCCAAAGGCCACATCAGTGATGGCACAATCGGGATACAATATATCACCATTACTGCTCTGTCGTAACCTCATGAGTGTCAATACCTTATCGATATGTTGCATCAAATAAAAACAACATGATAAGTAAACAATACCTTATGGAAAACATAAGGAAAAATAAGGGAAAATTACTCACCGAGTTGTCAAGCCATCTGTCCATCGTCAACATCTTTTTAAACCACTCCCGAGGATAATCCCTGGTCTTGCACTTCACATGGGCATCACTTCCGGATTCATTGTAATAGGCATATAAGATTTTTTTATTTTCCTCCTCTATTGGCTTATACAAATTGACCTTTAACTCTTCCGTTTTCGTTTGCCTACTTCCTCCCCCTTCCTCCATTTGGACATCCCCACTTCCTTCGCGTCCCGCCTCACTCTCTTCCATTATCACTTCCCCACTTCCTCCAGCAACCTCCTTAACCTCCTCCATTTTTGCTTCTCCACTTTCGTGGACTTCCTCAATTTCTTACTTCATTTTCCTCTTCTTTCCATGTGTTACTATGGTGTAAGGAGATTTGACAAACTTACTCTTTCAGCTCTCTCTTTTCAACTTAGGTTGCACTTCCACTGCTTTCAATACTCAACCAACTTTCTCTGCCACCTTATCAACTTTCTCCTCCACCATTTTCATCCGCTCTTCCATCTTCTCCAACCTCTCATAACTATTGTAAAACTCTCAAACAGACTATTTATGAGGTCAACCACCTCATTCTCCCAACCTCGACACCTTGGCAAAGCGGTACTTATTGTACCAATTTGTCAATTGTGTGGAGGTGTATGAACCTCTTCATCCTCCCTTCCGCCGATTGGAGCTTCATCATCCTCGACGTCAACAACATTCTCAAGCAGTGGCCTTGCAACTGCACTTCCCGCATTAGGTGGTCTATCCCTTCATCTGCTTCATCCTCTAATGCTTTGAAGGATGTAACATACTCCTCTCCTACTTCACTCCTAGTAGTGGTGAGGAAAGGACGGACGAATCCCTGCAATAAAAAAAAAAAAAAATCAATCAAATTTAAGCCACATTTAAAAGCAAGTGCATATTGAAAAGCTTAATCCTTTAATCTTGCCCGAGCCGCTTGAATTTCCATGTCTATTTTTTCATAATCCCAATGGCTACACTTTTCGATGTGCCACCGCAACATCCTAGGAAATTGCAGCAGCTCATTCGAAGTTTTCATCCTCCCCCCCCCCCCCCCCTAGCCAGGACAGTGACGACCTCATACATCCAAGCCTACATTGTAAAAAAAATAGTTCATATTAAAACACATATAATACAAAAAATATATAAAAAAGCTATTACTATTTACCTGCATTGCCTATGGGAAGCCAAACAAATTGTAGGTGTTCGGTCTATTCTTCTTGACAGATTGGCGCTGCTTTAACGCCATGTCTTTTCCTTGCAGGAGTCCATGGTTAGCTAAAATGGTACCCGTCCCCACGGATAACCATTAAAGAAGTCTATGTTGCTTAAAAACTTCACCCAATCCATATTAACGGTTTTTGTTGAGTCAGAAGCCATTAGGATCGACTGCACGAACCATACCAGACACATATTGATCCTCTCTGAAAAGGTATACCTACCTCCTTCTAACCTCTCCTTTAAATCGCGTACTATAATAGACGCCTTCCCCCCCAAAACCTTTCTAGCCAAGTTATCAGCTGCCCTCTACTTTTCTTTATTCTCTCTTGCTTTGCCGCATCTGGAAATTCCCCACATCTTAAGCCTGTCATCAGGGCATATTCCATCATCCCAAAACATAGTGGCTTTCCATCCACCACGAACCACATTTTTTTTTTTTTGGCTTTTAACTGAGTGCAGCAACATATAATGCACTCCCTGTCCCTAGAACGCCTTTTTTCCAATCTTCCCCAATGTTCACAAAATGACCGAAACAACTCTCTTTTAATCGGTCTGAACCCCTTCTTCTGTTCTTGTAAAATATCCATTATTCTCATAAAAACTTGCCAACTCGACCTAATTGTCACCCTTACGGGGAAGTACGGTACCTTATCGCTTACAACCTTCAACCCATAGTCTTTATAATTTACGCTTCAAAAAATCTGCACAATCGATATAAACTAAATATCAACAAAAAAAAGAAACCAAAACGACTAATAGACTGCCAATTTGGGGGATATGGGCTTCGAGGGTATTAGGGAGTGGGTGTTTTTGGCCTCTGTAGAACCAACATACTTTGTAAACAAAGAAAGAGTATCATACAATGAACTTTTCAACTAATCTTTTCAAGTGTATGAGAAAAAAAAAAAAAAAAAAAAAAAGGAGCATCATACAATGTAAATGAACATAAAAACCATACTGCACAGCTCATAAGATTACTAATCCTGCCATCACAACAGTTAACAACTCAAAACTCATCTAAAACATCACTAAACTAAAACTCAACCAAAGCATCAATTGAAAAGCAAGCATTTAATACTTCTAACACAACAAACAAACTTAGTCTTCCACTTAATAATATTACGTCCACCACCATCATCAACAACATCCATTTATTCATTGTTACAAACTAATAATCTAAACAATCACTCAATTAAAACCTCACCAACGTATGAATTAAAAAACTTTCATTTCACGCTTCAAGCACAACCAACAAACATTAGTATCACATAACAACATCAACATAACACCAGCACCACCGTTACACATTCATTCATAGCATACAAATATATAAGCTCACTAATTTAAGGATCACCATAATTAAGACCATTATCCTCACAACTTAAAAAAACACATCCAAATAATCACCAAAGCTAAAACCCCACCAACATATGAATTAAAAACCCTGCAATTTAACACTTCTAATATAACAATCATAGCCAGCCCTGCTAATGCAAGCCCTGTAGGGCTAGCCACGCACAGCGCACGCAACGTTGTGCGTGGCCAGCCTTGCCAATATGCAAGGCAGCCCTCTAGCCCTTCTATTCCGCCACCTCCTGCCATCCCCAGCCTACCAAACTCTCACAAACAACCTCCCTATGGCCTCCCTTGCCTTCCCTCATCCTCTGGAACCCAAATAAAGCCACTCCACCAATGCTCGCCAACTGCTTGACAAAACGCTACAACCACCATAACAATAAAACCAACTATATCTCCCCTAAATTCGCACAAATCAATTAATTTTCTCATCCAATTCAAAAAAACAAGTAAAAAACGTACCCCGTCTTCACCGGCGTCCTCCTCCTCGCCTGAATTCTCGTCGGCGTCTTCCTCTTCAAAACTGTTTTTCGATTCTTTTGTCTGTTCTTTTGCCGCCGTTGTCTCCTCTGCCTCTAGACCACCTTCACTCATTGGATGATCCACCAGAGCGTCTTCTTTGACAGCCTTTGAACTGTTGGCACTGCCGGAGTCTAGGATTCGAAGTGGGGTTGGGTTTTCCTCCTCTTTGAGAATGTCAACCATGGTTTTAGGTAAGGAAGCTTTAGGATCGAAAATTTTCCGGAATTAAGGCACTGTAGTCACCAGAAATCGCAGAGAAACAAATAGTGTTCGTCGGTCGTTTTTTGGGTATATGGCTCGATTAAGCCATTTTGAAGGGTGGGGGCTCGTTTTCAAATTTCAAAATTTAAACAAACTTCCTTTAATTATGATTTTACCCACATATGTTTAAATCTTTTCAGTTTAACTCATTTTACATGTTTAGTGAATCCTAGTTGTGCCACGTCAGCATTTCTAAATTAAAAAAAATGAAAAATATTTTCAAGGCCATTTTTTTAAATGCAAACTTGGGAGGTCTGGGGAGTTAAATTTCCTCATGTTGTTGCCGTCATCACCATCATTGAGTCATGATTTCATCGTCATAGTCAGCACGTGAAGGACCATTGGTCAGCGCTTTATAGATCTGAGTGGGCTCTGGTTGTTGAAAATCGTCAGAGCAACATCATGCATAGTGGTCGAAAATATGATTGTCGCAAGGGATGTTGGTTCGGCGATCTTCGGTGGCTGGGACTCATCCAAATCCGTAGATAGTTGGGTTGATGATCCATCAAGTGCCAACGGTGACGACGGTAGCATAACGACGGTCCACTGTCTGGCAGTGTTGACCAGCTTTGACCCATTTTCAAATATTTTTAATTTAAATATAAAAATAATATTTTTATATTAAAAATTATTAATTTTATTTTAATTTATATTTGTAATATTTAGTTTCAATTTAAATATTTTAAATTATTATGTTATTTTTGCCAAATATATCTTTAAGGATTTTTATTGTCTAGCAAAATATACATATAGTAATTTATATGGTCCTCTATAAATCACAAATTTTATTTCATTCCATCACTATTCATCAATAAAAGTAAATAATGTAACCATATTTTATTCCCTTCACATATTTCCATTACCCCCATGCCCATACCCACTACTATTCCCATTTCAATGCATTCCATGAAGTAAACGCAACCTAAGATATAGATAGAGTTTGTATGCTTTTATGACTTATATTGACCATCCATCTTGTTGGATATATATGGGTCTAGACCATCACATATACTTACATGATATAAACGTGACATACATGAGGACCTGATCTCAACCCAACAAAATCGGGTCGCTCGGGACAATAAGGTCTTTTGGGGTTGGGCTTGCAACATAGGCCTAACTTTCATTTGGGCCAAAATTATTAATCGACTAATGTTACACATATAATATGATATGAAAAAAAATTATTAGATAAAAAATTATTTTTAATATAAAATCAGTCAATCATATTTTATTATATCATATTGTATAAAAATATTGTGTGTATAGTATTATATCTATTGGCCTTTGACTTTTAAGAGTCATCTAATTAAGCAAATGTTATAAACCTTAAAAGAAGCCCAATTTTTATAGGATTATTAAAATATTAAATTTATAAAAAATTAATAACGAAACCCAATCTAATTATTTATTGTGCCCCGGATTAAAGCAAATTGAATTAACTATTGTCTCTTCCAATTGAAGTACAAATTTATAATTTAACAAAATTATAAAATAAATCCAACATTTTTTCATAATAGTTGCGAATTGCAAATTGGATTTGCTCAACAAATTCCTCATGATTATAGCAGTTCCTGTAATTCCCAAGTCAATCGGCAAAACAAAACAAATATTAAAAGCAATTAATAATTACAAGTCCAAAATAAATCAAAGGTACATGTAAATTATTAGTAATCTAAAAAAAAAAAAAAAACAGTGTTTGATATGACTTCAGTCCTAAATGTAAAACAAAAAATTATATTAATTCATATCAAAACTGATATTTATTTGAGTTGGTGAGATATAAACTGGACGATTATTGCTCAGACAAATGAGATAGAAGTAACAATCCATGAAGAACATTCTCACATAATCTTTGAGCTTAAAATCAAAATCATAACTTTCTTTTGTATTTATCTTTGAATATCTTTAGGGAGTGCTTTGAACTTTTATTGTGTGTATAAGCCTAGATTAGAGGCAATCATTCACAAAACACTTTGATATAATCTTTTAGGTGAAATCCCATAAATCTATAGGTGAAATCCCATCAATCTATTTTAAAGACGAAATCTTGTAAAAACTAGTATAAAGACAAAATCTTCTGAAAACTTATAATATAAAGGTGAAATCCGATTCTAGTGAAACTTCAAAGAGATTGCTTTAAAAAAGTGGACATAAGAAGCTTGTAGATATAGCTCCAAATCACTATAAATTTTTGAGCATTTATCTTCCTAATCTCTCATATTCATTGCTTATGGAATGCTCATACTTGTCTCATGTTCATAAATCATATTTTATTGTTTATAGCATACTTGTTGATAAATAGACCTCATTTATTGCTCATTCATTATTGTGTTTAGGGTTATTTGAGTTGTTGGAGGCATCTTCACGTTATTTGCCTTTTGTCTTTTTCTTTATTAAGAGTAGCGGTGCAAGGTTGTAGCGGGGCCAGGACACTCTTCGAAGTGATTTTTTTGCAAAAAAGACAAAGAGTTATGAGTTGGCTCACCAACATCTCATAACTCGTGGTCAATGTAGGAAAAAGGAAGAAAATAACTATGTCAAACTTGAAGCAATTTGCATCTACCCTTGTGAATCAGATTTTTGTATTCAAATATTTTCTAATTGTGATAAACTTAATTGTTGTAATTTCCAAATTAGAAAAAAATACGAAAATAAAAATTTGATAATTAGAAAAAAAATATTAATAAGAAAAATTTGATGTGGTAAAGAATCTTGTTAAAAATAATTTGGAGTTTCATGGAAAATATGAAAAAAAAAAAAATTAATCATGATAATTAATAATGGAAAATTTATAAGTTTAATTGAAATGATTATATAATTTGATCCAACAAGGCATGAACGTATTAGGACGTACTAAAAATGGGAAAATTCATTAATGCTACCTTAACCATAATACACAAAATGAGTTTATACAAATGTTAGCACTGCAGGTGATGAGGTGTTTTTATCATTTTATATGTTAGGGTGTTTAATTAAATTAGCAAACCTAGGGGGGTTTTTTTTATAAATTTTTAAATTTTATCTCGTAATACTCTCATATTCAATTACCCAATATTATTCCAAAATCTTATCCAAAATAATAAACAAACATACCCTAAACTTTTATCCGTTACGACACAGACCAATCGGATCTGTGTCGTAACGCGTCACTATGGCCTTTTTCGGCCAGATCCACCATGGATCTGACCGGAAAAGGCCAGATCTACGGTAAGATGTGGCCGTCGACGGTTGGAAAATGCCAAAGAAGTTCGCAGATATGGCCATCATTGATGGCCAAAGATATGGCCATCATTGATGGCTAGATGGATCTGGTCGGAAAAGGCCAGATCGGTAAACTACCGGCCAGTTCTGGTCGTGATGTAAGCCATTGTACAGATTCCAGCTACCACCGACGGTGGTTGCCGGAATCTGGCAAGATTGGGTTGATGGGGGTATTTTTATTAATTTTTAAACTTTTTTTGGGGGGTATTTAATGAAATTAATAAACTTAAGGGGTCTAAAAATAATTAAAAAATAAAGTAATATTTCTGAAATAATGTGCCAAACAATATTTGGAGAATAGGATTGAGAATATAGGTAGAAATAGGGAGCCAAACTCACCCTTAATTATTTAAAAAAAAAAAGAAGCAATTTATTTTTAATTATACTTAATTGTGCTGTAGATGCGAAGCATGAAGAAAAAATTACTGTTGTAGTGCCCGAATTTCCCTAGGGCTAATAATGTAAATGTATCCAAAGATCTTATTTGCACACCAAGTAAACAATCTATGAGATACATTCTTAATGAAGTAGAATCATAGCTCAAAGAGGAACTCTAGGAGGAATTAAGGAAGTTGAGTCAAATTAGGAAGTGAATGAACAGTGGATCCGTTCTAAGTGAGAATTAGATCCCAAGTTCCCCTAAAAAACCACTTTTCCTCATCCTGTCAAATCTGCTACTCTACCAATGGAAGTATTCTCCTAAAACTCTCTCTGCTTCACTATAAAAGTAAGCTAATGGCATGGACCATCTCTTTTCTAACCCTGTGATCTCGTAGGAACCTTATCAAATATTTTAGGGAGAAGCATCGTAATCGAGAACAACTTCAAAGACGCCAATCCAAGGGCAAGATCGCGATTTCCACGTTGGTCGAAATTTTGGCATCAACAACTTTTACACTAAGATGTGTAGAATTTAATCAAATCCAATAATAATAGATGAAAGTAGATGACACAACTAGAAATAACCCTTGTTGGATGCAATAAAAAAAAATCTTGAACTTAATGCTAATGATATAAGAGGACAATTATATGCTAATAGATCTAATACAAAAAGGAAAATAACAAAGTATCCAAAAAAGACTATGGGAAGTTTGTAACTAAATCTTAGAACATTTTAAACCTTATGTGGTTGTTACAATATAAACATAGTTCTTTGTGTCATGACTAACTCTTTCCTCGAGTGATAACAATTTTTGGTGTAGTATATTCATTATTCTTTACTTCAATTAAGCAATGAAATTTTTTATAGAATAATAATGTTAACAATGAACATCACAAACACATTAAATGGATTTTATTACAATATTAATAATAATATTGTAGTTGTTTATGTAGAAAGAGGCTTTTCAAAACTGAAATTAATTATATCACAATAAAGATAAAGCATGTTAGAAGAAAGACTAGATGGATTAACTTCATTGTTTATTGAAAAGAAAATTTTTAATGTTATATAACAATTAACTTAGATAAGGAAATAAACTAACAAATAAAAGATAGAATTAATAAAGCAAGAGAATTGAGAGTTGTGGGACTTAATTGACAATACTTAAAACCTCTCAAATATTTGATTGCTTTCAATTGAAAAGGATGAATTAAGTGAAAGGGATGGGAGGGCATTTATAGCCAATACACCCCCCCACTTTTCATGGCCTTTGGTA